ATTCACGCCTTCTAATTGTCGCTTCTGCCAATACTTTCTCGGTACATTCAAATAGGACTCTGTTTCACAGCTTTTTGCTTCCATGCCAACATATGACGCGTTAAACAATCTTCAGATATTTCCAAATGTATATGCTTTTCCTTTGACTAGAAGCATCATCATCAAGTTGATCTACTCCTGTGTAAGCTTCTAACGAGTTAGTTAAACAAACACTTTCTCTGTCATCAGCAGTGCTTAGTATCTATACCATATTGCAAAGCAGCTGCTGAGCAGAATAAATGGCACGGTAATCAAAACAACTCCATATACTTTCTTATTTGACTGTCAACAACACCCCACAGACAGTCAGAACTACGGTAATATTAAATGCCGCTTGCAAAATTCCCTTTGAACACATAAATAATTCAAGTCTGTTTCCTCCACATTTTCCACCCCGGCGCCTTCAATGCTGTACTTACAAAATTAAGCAAAGAACAAGTTAACGCATTTATTTTTTGCAAGTATTTTGCTACAATCTTCACAGGCAGATTATGTTGCTTAAGAAAGGCTGCATTGTTTTATAGCTATTGCTCTTGACAGCTTAAGGCAGCAAGAGTTGTGTGTAAATTTGTTGGCATAGCACGATTTCAAATGACCAGCCTACATCTTCCACCAAATGGCCCGACATTGGAAGTTGCTTTGCCTGAATTTTACGAACCACCTGCTTTGAATGGAGAGTAGTAACCCAAATTTGTTTGGAAGTGACTAACTGCGGACACTTTGCGGAGTCAGAACTGCCCCCGCTTGAATCAACACGTAGCCTTGGGGCTACGCATTTTGGTTCGTTTTACTCACGAACTATGTCTTTATCTTAGCTACGACATCCTCTTGTAACTTGCAGATGCTTTCTATTCTAATTAAAACACTAATTAATTCAGCTTAATGTGTACATAATATTCTGTTTAATGCCAGATCAGGTCTGCATCATCCATGTTATTTAAAACGCATAGCAAAATAGCTGCTCCGATGCATGAACTTGAAAGTCACGCATAAGATAGAAAATCACTTCGTGAAATGCGACTGCATCAAATGTGAACTTACTATTTTTGATAATCCTATAGCGCCGCCGCTTCTTCTGGTATGTTGGTAAAACGACTATTTCTGACCAGTTGAACTACCTTGACGTATTCATTTGAATTAGTAAAATATATTTGTCTGTCGTGATATAAATCCTCCAACATATTTTGCGCCCAAATCCATCTCTTAGGAGCTGAGGAGACTTGCGTAATCAAGGATGAGTTGGTTTATTTTTCGTATTGCTGGCCCATTTTGCACCTGGCAGAAGATGGTTGGAAAGCGTCATTCCGATGGGTATATTGAAGCCAATTGCTTCAACCGAATGATTGCTTTACGAACTTAGAGCACTGCCATTTGTTTACTACGTCTAAAGTTATGACAAATCTGCCGTTGCAGGAAAAGTAGTACTTGTAGATACTTTTTTAATGCATTCTGACCAAATTGTTGGTGTTCTTTTAACAGCTTTTGCACTTTTGCCCAGATCATCTTTAGAACGGGCTTGTTCATGTCTCGAGAGACTGATCTAGGATAAACAATCTCATTTCCTACTTTGTTTGCTCTCCTGCATTCATTCAGCTGGTTTTATTTTAGTTGTTCTTGCATTACTTGCGATGTTTCTACTACTAAGAACGCCAGCTGATTGAACGGACGAACAAAGGAACAAACCGTATGAAACAAGTGTGTTTCATCCCCTTTTATATATAATATCCTTTTTTCAAGCCTATTGTCAATTTTCCCCAACACCTACACTATCTGGTAAACAGAATGTGCATCCAAGCAGAACAGTAAATCGCTATATTGTTCCTCCCTTTTCGGTTTCGTGCTATGCGATCTTTCTGGTGGAATTCCCTCTTATGCCATCACAATGTGGCCAGGGCTGTAATAACCACCCGCTAACCATCAATCTCAGACGTCCGGTGTTCGTGCACGTGAGAAGGCTATTGATGCCGAAGTCAACGAGAGATCACAAAACGTTTTCTGCATTTGCATTTGCGGTTTGCCTGCGAACTGCATTGAGGAAGAGGGATGTACTAGACAATTGTTTCCCGCATATCACTTCTGATCGCCTTGTTTGCATCTTAGTGGCGTCCCACCTGTCACCCACCCAATACT